CTGTTACAGATGTTTGCTACAATGTATGAACATGTCCCAAATGATCAAGGGCTAATGGAGGTCCAATAGTAGCCAGCAGGAAGCTGGAACCAGACAAACAAGTGGTCGATGACATGAGCACACCGTCCGCGTATCCTGCAATGTTACCACCTGATTCTCACATTTTAGTCAGATGCTAAGACACGAAAGGGGAAATCCGACCCCGTTTACGTTTGAGATCGCGGTAATGGAGAAACGTGATGCACACCAGAACGTTAATACAGTCGGTCTGAGCGTCAAGATGTCAGAATATGACTATAATTCACAATTAGGTTCCTCTCTCATTACAACTACAGTGAGTCGAGTTTTAGTCGAGTTTCCCCATAGGTCAATAGAGGTTGAGATGAAAACCCATTACATCACAATATGAATTTGATACTTGAGACAAAAGTATATACAGCCAAACAAAATCTGAAGGTTATGAAACTCATGCCAGATGTTATAATGTGCCATGAGAGGAAGAGTGAGTGAGTGAGTGTGGGTTTACGCCGCTTTTAGCAATATTCAAGAATTATCACGGCGGGGGACACCAGCAATGGGCTTCACACATTGTATCCATGTGGGGAATCGAACCCGGGTCTTCAGCGTGACGAGCGGACGTTTTAATCATTAGGCTACCCCACCGCCCCCAGGAGAGGAAGAAATGTATTTGGCATCAGACAGAAGCGATCAACAATAAATATTGAATGTTTCAAATTTTGGATTATCTGGTCCTCCTTGAAAGGCACCTTTAATGGTTTCCCGACAATCCAAATAGACTCTCCACCAACAAGCAAATCGACAATCTTCCATACCGCCAAGGCTAAATATCAAATCGCCATTAAAACGAAAGCTATTTCAAAGGCATAATTATTCAAACAATGCTAATTTTGAGTGACCATTCGGCTTATTCATGACATGCAAAATCCGAAATACTTCCTCAATTATTTTCTTCCAAAAACACAAAATCAACCCGTCAAAGATAAATTGTTTCGTTTGTCATGATCGCAAAAACTCCCTCAATATAGAACAGTCAGAACTAAGAACAGTTAATGTTTCTCAGATTGCTCAGTGCAATGATTAGAAGTGTTTCAGTGTTTTTCAGATTGCTCAGTGCAATGATTAGAAGTGTTTCAGTGTTGGCACTGGGCGCAACAGCTTCTACATTAGGCTAACGCTTTGTCCCTGAATATATACAATATTGCTAGTAACAAATAAATTCATTTACATTGAAAAGGAGCCCCATTGAGTTGGGTGATTGGGGAAATCTAGACCTGCTTCATTTAGGGCTTAGCATTGCAGTGAGGGCGAGGTAGTAGAGAAAATAATGTGGTTCAAGGACTGTGAGACTGACTACTTTCATAACAACGTCCAATACTTCCCCGTCTGTCATATGTGATTACCCACGTGCCTTGTGTTGTACTTCTGGGATTTCTTCCTTGTGTGCAAACATTAGATACTGGTGCTAGAGACCGCCTCACAAACAACAGCCAAGATGATGGCTCCGTGTCACACCAGCGAAGAAGATATTTACAGAATCAGTTGCAAATATTAAATGTTACGGACAAACAAACATCAGCCAGACACCATGAGAAGATTCCCATTGACGTGAAAGATCTAATAATATCACAACAGGATCTAAAATCAATGTAATCAGGAAAAAATCCCAGCTTACAATTTGTAGAAAATGAAATTAGGCTTTAAAAAGGTAGCTCTCGTTAAGGATTTCATCCCGAGAACCTGAAGACATTAGTCAAGCTGTGCATAAGCTGCTTGAAGAACATTGGGTTCGAGTCGGCACGTCCCTCACACCGGCCCATTATTGTTCATCAAACAGCCACCGCTTCGGTTGGTATTGATTTCATAGCAAAACAAAAACACGTTCTTTCTAAATTGCGCTAACGAGTTCCTATTTCCTGTAATGAATTGGGCCATTTCCCTTGGCCAGAATAGGGTAACGCGCAGCCTTGTATTGGTTCTGATGTACGTTGATTCTCAGGGAAAAACAAAAGAGTTTCTTAGAAAACAACCTGCGTGACGTCACGGTTTGTCTTCAAGGACTTGTACGTCGTGATCGATTTAAGCAAGTTACAATCAGTTCAATGAATATTCACGAGGTCTCAATTCCAATCACGTGACTCCACAGCGCGGGCAGATTGATGAACGTAGAAAGATGATCTCCAGATAGTTGAAGAATCCTATAATTGGAAGTCGAGAGTTGAAGTTGCAGAATGGTTAAGGCGTTCCATCGAGCGGAAGACCCCGGTTCGAATCGCGGTTGTTGATGTCAGAATCCTTACTGTGGTGATTGTGTCAGGTGTGTTTACAAACTAATTATTTATAGATAGTAAATGGAAATTTGACCATAACCTTATTTGAAAATCACTAAGTATATACCTGTAGAAGACGTTCTATCTAATGAAGGACATGCAGGTTAAGGTCTATTACATAGAGTCATAATAGATATTTGAAATGATCATTAATTTTAGTTTTGAAAGAATATATTATCTCTTTTAATGACCTCGCCATTGAATTACAGAGACGGACGCATAACAAGATGAGCTAGGCCACCGATCAAAGAGAGCTGTATGTTTACTTCATTTGTTCTTCCCTTTGGGGGAGTCATAAGGATACACCTTCGTGCTCTCAGTCACTGCAATACGGAACCGCCTTGATATTTTACCTTCGCGATTAACACCCCAACGAACAATTAAGTGCTGGACTTTCACAACAGTCCCCGCTGATTCTGACTGTCCTCTGTCCGGGTAGTTGCTGTTGTTTATTTGTTGAAGGGTGTTAAAACGTCAAAGTTCTAGACATGATTTCACTCCAGAAGATTGGCTATTGCTGAACAATGACTGACGGGACAATAGGATCTAACTAACATATGATCACCTCACTGATCTCATCGTAGCTTCTCGTTGGTACCATTGTCTGTCTGACGTCTTTTGGAGATTCTTTAAACAACTGAAATACAAAAATAAAACAAATCTGCAACTGCTACACGGACCTGTGAAGATGCGGGGTTAGAATTGATCTTCAGTTACCCATGCTTGTCGTAAGAGCCGACAGGCGGGATCGGGTGGTCTGGATCGCCGACTTGGTTGACACACATATACCAATAGATCGATGCTCATACTGTCGATCACTGGATTGTCTGTTCCAGACTGGATTATCCGCCATATAGCTGGAATATTGCTGAGTGCGGCGTAAAACTAAACTCACTCACTCACTATACGGGCCTGTGTACAAGACATATGTTAGTATTGTTAACCTCGTTTACGGAGAATAGCAAGGTGTGTACATCGGTGCTTGATTCACAGCCAGTAGTAAATACACGAATACAAAAGGGTTGCCTGATATAAAAATGACCAACACTCCTATACCGTTAATGTTTAAAATAACTATTTTCTTTGTCTCCAGATCTAGATTAATCCAAACATAATTATACCAGGCCTGGGGAACGTCAACAGTGTCGATATTGGCATTTCACAGCGAAGAACTGTTCATTGATTTGTCGCCACTGACGTCGGTCCATAAACTTTTAAACTTCATCCCTTGCATACAAAGAGCTATTTTAGTTCGCTTTTAAGTGCTGACGTATTTCAGTGTAAAAATACATCCATCGTTAGACGATTCCCGATCAAAACCAAAACACCAATGGCGTTTTTCTGGGCCACGCGTTCCTTCTTTGCAATAACCCTCTGGCCAAATGTGCTGTGGCAGCAACAACAGTAACCTCGGCTTGACACAGGTCGTGAACGTGTTGAGGGCTGTTTGGAATGTAATACGCGGAAACTCTCAAAACAACAGATCGATGTAAAAATCAATAAAACGGTCATTTGTGTCATCAAATAGGGGCTTCGATGAATGAGCGTCGTGTCAAAAGAGACCCAGTGATCGGCCAAGCAACTAATCGAATTTTGTTTGAGCGTTACTTCATAATTAAACATTAAAGTCTAAATGAGAGCATTAAGGTTAGCTTGTGGAGCGGTGATAACACATTTACCAATTGTATAGAATCTCCACGTCAGTAGATCTATAATATTACGAGAATGTATTCACAAAAAGGTCTGCTACAGAGCGGAATACAGAGCCAGAAGCACTTAATCCAGGAGTACCAGGAACTGATTTCCTGAGTCCGCCTCCACGAGACGTCCATGCAAACAGGTTCTTGGCAATAAGCTGGACCGAAATGGTAACCCTATCATTTCCTGAAATGGCTCTCTTTGGTATGGTTAATGTGATATTTATTTAGAAAGTGTTTGCCATAAATAATAGGAAATAATCGTAAGGACAGTTCGTTGGTGTTTGACGATTTCTTTATGTGAACGATGTCCTTGTCTTGTGAAAGACACGGATATGAAACACATAACAGTAAATGTCCCTGTCATGTGACCATTGATACTAATGATACACTTCTGAACTCTTTTATTAGAAATATTAAGGATAGAGATATTGGATCTATTTCAACTGCAACAGCATATTGTAGACAATGATTCTATATGCAGATTGATCTCGTGGATAATCCGGGTAGAAGAGATCCCCTATGGCCTGTTCGTCCTTGACCTCTGTCTATCATTGTACCTGACGGCATTGACCACTGGTCATACTATATAGTGTACAGGGAAATGTGTTATCAGCAACCAACTAATTCGCTTTTTTGTCCCGTGAAGATCCGGGATAGAATTGATCTTCAGCAACCCATGCTTGTCGTAAAAGGCGACTAACGGGATCGAGTGGTCAGGCTGGCTGACTCGGCTGACACGTGTCACTGTATCCCAGTTGCGTAGATTGATGCTGATGGTGTCAATAACTGGATTTTCTGGTCCAGACTTGATTATATACAGACCGCCGCCATATAACTGGAATAATCCTTAGTGCGGCGTTATCCAACCAACAAACAAACACATCTTAGTCTTTTAATATCAATTATATCATTTTTCAAAATATATCTACTGCTTACTAAAATGCTCGCTTTTTCAGCTTGGCTCTGCGGCTGGTGGATTACGAGATCAGTCAAATAAGCTCCTGACTGGTAACCAGCTAGATGTAGTATTGACTGGTTCTGTGGCTCACCCCTCATATATTTTTACGATACGTGATTTCACGAGAGTCAGGCCCCGACGCTGCCAACCCTCTATGCTGTTTATGACATCGTTACATGTATCAAAATAGCTGCAAACTTAACCTAACAGTCATTTACAGTAATTGGCATTACTGCTTGAAAGGCCAAATCATTATTTAGTATCACGACACGATGGCTTCAGTCTTTTAGAAGCAAGGTGGACAGGTTAGATAAAAGACCACGCACATCATGCTTGATAGATCCGTGTCTTTGTTAATCATCAGGTCTGTTGTATCATGAGCAATGTCACCATTGTTTGTGTCAAGGCTGGTGAGGTCATCTGCAAGTCAATCGACTTCGTCCATTGGCCGACCGTGTGTTGTATTTTGGCGAACATCAAGTTTGTTTCTCTCTTTGTTATATCCCCTTAATATGTCACCACGTCATTCGGCTGTTTCCGGCTGACCTCGGCAATTTCAGTGGTGTTCCCTTTCTGTAGTATTCGTAATAACGACTCGCACCCTTCTCGAAGCCATTTTATAACGTTGGCCCATTTCGGGAAGAGTGCGTGAGTGAGTTGGGTTTTACGCCGTTTTCAGCAATATTCCAGCAATATGGCGGCGGGGGACACCAGAAATGGGCTTCACACATTGTACCCATGTGGGAAATCGAACCCGGGCCTTCGGCGTGACGAGCGTACGCTTTAACCACTAGGCTACCCCACCGCCCCTTTCGGGAAGAGAAAGTTACAACAAACAACGCTGTACACTACACCGGATTTAATTACCGTACAAAGTGTGTTGTGTGTAGGTACATGTCTCCAGAAGCATTTTCTCCGCCAAGTTACAAATTAGTGACGGTGTGCTAAACTATCGCATACATCATAGCCTCGGAGTGCTGATCACCTGGGTTCGATGCCCACATGGGTACAGTGTATGAACCATACCCGTTCACCTGACCACATTGAAGAAATAACCTGTAATGAATCTATTCCCCATCACTATGCACGCAATCCAATCCAATTTGCTGACACAGACGGTATACCGCCACCTGGTGCGGTGTCCTTGTTCCCAGCTGGTACAGGCAAGCCTCAATTAAATGACACCCAATACTACTCCGGCAATAACCAACAACCGACATCGTCATCTGTGTAATCAACAGCCCGCCAGCTGATGGGCATACTGCTTCTTCATCGACATCACCTTGAGCGTTACAGGGTCAGGTAAACATACTCATAAAGTCAATAAATACATTGCCCTACACAGCCTAAACTACGGCTATAACGAAGGGGCGACTAATTTTAGTTCGTCATAACCGTAGTTCGCAATACGAATTTCGACTAAACACGCAGCAAATATCCGTTAGTTCGTTATAAACGTAGTTTACTGTACTTTCAAAACACATCAGACTTTATTCTTTATTCTTTATATATTTTGTATTGTGATCCTAGTATTTAATGGACGAGAATTGAGTTAACCTTTACGTAAAAGGTCTGCGAGTGGCGATTCCTGCTGATCAAGCTCGTTAATGCTGAATACGTCCCTTTTGGCTCCTGCATCAGTCATCGTATGCCACTGACAGTTAACGTTAATGTCATCAGTGTCTGTATGTCCGATTTCACTTCTAATTCTCCATGTGATTTTACGTCACAACGTTTAGGAATGATAGGTGAAGTACACTGTTCAAACTATGACACAGACACAGTCAGTGTGTTTGCTGTTTAATGCCTCTTTCGTTTATTTAACGTTGGTCTGAGAATGATCGAAGATGGACTTAACAGTCCATTGATTGTTATTATAGGCGACGATCCACGCCATCGGGAGTACGTTCATTGTTATGATGGGCGACGATCCACGCCATCGGGAGTAAGTTCATCGTTATTATTGGCGACGATCCATGTCATCGGGAGTACGTTCATCGTTATTATTGGCGACAATCCACGCCATCGGGAGTACGTTCATTGTTATTATGGGCGACGATCCACGCCATCGGGAGTACGTTCATTGTTATTATGGGCGACGATCCACGCCATCGGGAGTACGTTCATTGTTATTATGGGCGACGATCCACGCCATCGGGAGTACGTTCATTGTTATTATGGGCGACGATCCACGCCATCGGGAGTACGTTCATTGTTATTATGGGCGACGATCCACGCCATCGGGAGTACGTTCATTGTTATTATCGGCGACAATCCACGCCATCGGGAGTGCGTTCACATTCTATCAACCACGTCACCGAGACCGACCACCTGATCGTCCGTTTTTATAACCAGTACAGGTTGCTAGGGCTCTATTCTCACCAGATATTTTCTTAGGTTTTGATCACAGAAATGGGCGGTCGCTGTGGATAAAACGTTGATCAGCTGAAATCCAAGATGGCCGCCAATTTCTTTTTCAAAGACCTTTCTTTTAATATATCGTGAAAACTATCTATATTCAGGTTGTTTTTCGTGTTCATGTGCCATTTATTTCACAGAGGTACCATCCATACCTTTGATACATCAAGAATGAAAATATGCCATTTTATATTTGTAATTTTATGTTTCATATTCTTAAACGTAGTCCCCTACTTATATTATAACGTCAGTCAGTGCCTTGGTTATCCCTATCCGTTCATAAAAAGTACCCGGAAAAAGATTTTTAAAAATGTATTTGCGAATCACTGTAAAGTCTCTGTAGCACTAGTTGTAAAGTTTATGACTATAGCCATTTTTGTCGTCACGGCCGTCCATGTTTCCTGTATTTCGAAGTTTCAGTGATTCCAAACCAAACTTTTTGTGGCTACATTCTACCTTCGCATACAAGATAGTTGTATTTCTGCACAGGGTCAACAACTTAAATGGCAGTACATATTTATACTTCATCCTGTCATTCTTCCGATGATATTTAGGACTCTACGACTCAGTAACATTATTATTTGCGTGTAAATTATATATTTACCCTTTGATCTTGTTTATCTTGACGTGCCATGATATTGGTGGAATAAAAGCCATACTCCTATTTTTTTATAATCAAAAGCTATTGCGTGGGATATTAATTTAACAGCCGATCATTTCCATGTGTTGAGATATCGTTTCATATTAGTCTCATCTATTATTTATTTGATGCTATCAATGTTCATAGTCCTGGTCTTTCATTACAGGGGAACCTGGTGTTTCCGATATAGACCGTTTAAAATTAAATCATCCAGATTACTTTTCGGGCTAGCTATTGACGGACGTACTGATATATGGCTTAATATACATAGTGTTTCCGGTACATAGAGCCTTGAAAGAGTAGATCCGGATATACAAGTTCTATAGTATAGGTTTCACTATACATGTATATTATTTCTGTGATACAAGATGGTTCACACCCGCGGCTTTTCTTTAGATTGAAATATATACATTACGTTTTCTTATGAAATTACAAAATATATTTAAAAGAATGTTTTCACATCATTGTTGGAATCGAACCTGGATGATCACAGTGTTTTAACCACTAGACCAACCCATTACACCTTGGTTGGTTGGTTTGTGGTTTAACGCCGCACTCAGCAATATTCCTGCTATATGTCTGTAAATAATCTAGTCTTGACCAGACAATCCAGTGATCAACAGCATGCGCATCAATCTACGCAACTGGGATACCATGACATGTGTCAATCAAGATGCCATTAGCCGCCTCTTACGACAAGCAGGGGTCACTGAAGACCAATTCTAACCCGGATCTTCACGGGTCCATTACCCTTTGAGGGAGCCATCGAACGATACCTAAAAGCTGGCTTTTATAAGTCACAAGCGCCATGAGTAACTATAGGGACATGTAGAAATGATCCGTGGTGATAAAGACAGTACGATAACAGGAGCCTCACTGTGTGAAAGCAGCGCCTGGAATTTGCGCTCGATGTCTACCTTTACCATCTCGATATAGGACATGCTGTTCAGTCAGTGCAGGGCATTAAATAGTAATTAATCATAGACGACTCTTAATCCCCGAGACACCACAGTACGAACTACGAACTCTAACGATCTTAAAATGTCAAGATAGACATCTACCGCACTGAAAGTACCGATCAAAGGTCTACGCTGAGCCTGCCTAGCCAGGTTGCGCAGACACGTGGTCGAATCAATCGGATCTTGCTCCAGGTGCTGTCCAGATATATTTAGAGTCCCAATATTGTGCAGTCGCTTGTAAAATACCCTCCTAAGGCTACGGCACTCCTTTTATAAATCCATGTACTTTAGTTGTCAAGCTGAATTTAGATATAATACACTAAATTGGGAGAGTCAACTACAGCACGTGACACGGTGAATACGATGAATCGAATCATTGCGATAACAAACCAACTCATGACGTACCTTATTACGGTGTGTATGTACATTATGAGTTATTTTAATATCGATCTTAATAACATGTCACGCGAAAGATGATTAATGTCTATTTGAAGACATTTAAAAATACCAGACTGATTGCACGGGTAGAGGGAAGGCACTACGATAAACATAGATAAAAATACATTGTGATATTCTTATATACTGTCAAACCGCAAATTTATTACATTATGCTCTCTGATATGAGTTAAACCTGTACTATTGTCCTTCAAAGGACTTTTTAAACTGCAGCTATTTAAAATTGAAGTTTTAATAATCTGGCATCTGGTCGATAACAAATGAGTGTAATTTCATGTAGACTAAAGTGTTAAACTTCTAAATTTAAATTGAAAAATATAGATTACTTTATGTTGGAATTGACGTTGCGTATCAGCCGTTATTACTTTAGATGTAATGTATGTATATATATAATATGTATATAAAGTCAGACTTTGCGGTATTGATTACACTAAACATATGGATAACGTACTGTGAATCACCTGAATAATTTACTCTCAATCCCTCGTAATCCTCTGAAAAACATTAAAAAGTCCTAAATGATCTTAATAAAAAATCTAAATAGAAACCAGAGTCCTCCTTGCCTAAAATTTCAGAA